ATAAACTAACGACTATTCGAAAACAACAGTTGCGCGTAGCAATTTCAGAATGTGTTAAGGCGCGTCCACACTATGCCGATATATGCCATATATTCATTTTGCCATTTGGCTTTCTTTGATCCTGACCGACAGTCGACGGATACGGCTTGGCATGCCAGTTGGCAAAACTTTGCCAAATGGCCTGTGCCAACAAAAAGTCCACATCACCCTTGGCAATGCCATTTGGCAAAGCCATATGGCATAGTGTGGACGAGCCTTTACACTGTATATCGTATTATGATTATGCAGTTAACATAATACAGAATGGATTAAAAATAAACCTACAATCAATGATTTTCTTAAAATAGTTGGTAATCAGTACAGCGTACGACACAAATAAACAATAACAAAAACCACTACCAGCTATAACTTAAATATTTTATAAATAAATTTAACATTTTCAAAATCATTTATTATGTACCTATTAGTCGTGATTGATCAAATTTATTTTTTCTTTCATTTAAAGCGTAAGCAGTGCTTACAGTGCTTACATGCAATCTACGCCCCTGTTAAAAATTCTATAAATCAGAATTTGAATAAATGTATTTTTAAAAGAAAAAAGGAAGTGGGCATTTTTTCCCCAAAATGTCAAGTAAATTGTGTATTTCATGATGGGGCCCCTTCAAAAAAACTGATCCATGGGCCTTTTGTGTGCCAGGCTGACACTGGTCGTCATTGGGTGTGGGGATGGAACTGCGAGTTTTTATATTGGATAGGTTGGTACATGTGAGTGTGCTGTGGCATAATTTCTATTCTAATGGGGCAACCGTAGGTTTCTGCCATGCCCCGCCTAGACCACTCGTCCACCTCGTCCCTCTCTTAAGGTATATTTGATACTTCGATAGGCAATTTATTGTTCTTACAATATTAGTGTGGTCAAGTACTAGATGTTGTTAATTATGAATAATAAATTAACTTAAATTGTTAAATTATAACACAATATTAATTGGAGTATCAAATATTGATTCCCACAATAACCTACAAAGAGGCAGATAAACTAAAATCCTTTTACAGAATAATTAAAATCTGATAGTCTAAGCATTATAGTAATTAAGCAAGCAAGCCTATATTTGTTAGGCTTTTAGCAATTAGGACTAAATCATAAAATAAATATGGCGTTTCCGACAACCAGAACACAATTACCAAAGGTTTAACAATATTAATAAAAACTGTTTACACATATTAAGCACAATTCACTTTACAATATAAACAAAACTAGGTAATCCATGTTTTTTTATTATAATAAAACAATTTTCATATATACAATTTCATAATTGTTTAAGGATATGAAAAATAAAATACATATTATACTTATTACATATTATTATATTATATTATAGTAGTGTTTTATAGAGATTAGTTTGTACTGAATTAAAGGTTACTATTATAAGTAATTTAAAAAAAGTGTTAACTACACATAATATTATATTTCAACACGGTCTTTATTAAAATTAAAATAATATAATATATTTTTAGTATGATATAGTTTTTAATATTGATATAATTGATAAAAAGACATAACATTAAACATAATACAACAATGACAATTGTTACACAACTCAATAATCAAACATTTTATAATAATGTAAAATATTTACAGTTTAAGACAACTTTGTATTATAATATAATGTAAATATGAAACAATGAATCATAATGATAATTCTCAACAGTCTTTGAGTATAATTCACATTTCTAACTCTCATTTCACAAAAATCATATGAAAAAATTTATTGAAAAAAAAACATTAAATTAAATATTGTTAACAAATAACAAAAATTATAGCGTCTTAATTTATTAGTTTATTTCATTAGTGGATTGAATCAAAGTAATAATAACAAAAGTAATAAATAACATATTATAACACGACTAATTTTTCACATAAATAATTACAATTAAATATTGAATGATTGCTAATTTATGGAAAAAAGGATTCTGCCATTTAAATTATTGCTAAATGTTGAATATTGAAATCACATAAATGTAGTAAACGTAATCTAATATATTAAATATTGATACATTACTTACCACATATTGGCATAGTGTTACTTTTATTAAAATTATTTTATATTTACAGCCCTGAAATCTAACTATACACTTATATTTATACTAAAAAATGTAATAAATTTCAAACAAATTTTAAAACATCCAATATTGTTTTTATCATAACAAAAAAATGCATACATAAGATAATCTTGCATTCAATTTTGATGATAACTCACTCAAAGTAATAACCAGGGAATATTTTTATTAGATTCATATTTTATATACCATTGTACCTAATCATTTAGAAAAAATGTATGATTGTACTTTATTGATGTTCTGAAAAGTTATTTTGGTTTTTATATTTGCTTAACAATATATTCCATACTTCATATAGAGAAATTGCTTACAAAATATAATTGACGTATATAAAGGTGTATTTAAATATTTAACTTTTACATAGAACTCAATAATAATACATAATATTTCTCTGTTACATAGAAATCTGTTAACAAATATATTTGTATCCATCTAATTCACTACAGATTTATTCAAAAAAGTAAAAAAAACTATAATTATAAAATGGAAATAAATGATTAAATGTTATTGAAGCAATAAAAATAAGAATACATTATATAACATGAAACTATAAAATCTTGAAACAAATAAAATTAAAATACTAAAAACTTAAAATCAATAATAATTTTAAATAAAATAAAATAATAATCATGACATAGGTATTTTAGTTATTTTAATTAGTTAGCATCTAATTATCCCTGATGCATAGTTTTATCATAAACATTTTCACAAGATGTAAAAAAAGGCTTGGAACCCGAGTTCATCCCTAACTAAAAAAAAAAAATTGGTTCATGAATATTTTAATTATTACGATTACTAAACATATGGTATAAGAAAAAGTTAAAAATTTAAGCTTAAATAAATAAATAATTGATTATTTTAAACAGTTTCATATTTTAATTTATAATGTTTAAATGTTATGTAAAATAATAAAAATTAATGTTGTAAAAATAATATAATTTAATATACAAACGATGATTACCTATGATTTAACAAATTATCTATAATAAACTATAAAATTGATAACTATTGATGTTAACTCAGATCAAAATTTTAATTAATGTGATTTATATAGGTAAACAGTTTTCTAAAAAATAAATAAGCTCAATATTAAAAAAAAAAATACCCAATAACAATAAATATTTTTTATAATTTTTCACTCCAGAAACTATTAAACTATTAAGAGGACGCCACATCCGTTTGGTTTGTCTCCATCTTACAAAAACATAACATAGCAAATTTATGCTCAAAACCTCACATTTAGCTCCGTTAGTTTTAGCGTAAGAGTAAATCGACCTATTATGAAACATGATATTAAGAACATTATCTGTGTTATATGTTGGTTTTTACGATTATTCAGTTTGTAAGTGAATTATGAGCATTTTTAATTTATGTTATATTATATACGCATAACTTGTTAAATAATTTAACAATTGTAAAAAAACAACATACCATCTCAGATAATGTTTTTATTATAAGTTGATTCACTCTAATTGTTCAACCAATGGAGTTGAACGTGATCGGCTGTCCACACATTTGTTATGTAACGCACTTGTAAGATGGAGACAACAAATGGCTGTGTAGCGTCCTCTTAATAGTTGTATCTGAATCCTGATTAGTTGTATCCTAACATGTACTATTTTGAGATGAAAATAAAGTTTAATTTTATTATACCAATGAACTGAACATAATTTGGATTCCAAGCACCTAATACCATTGTCTTACTTATCATTTTAATTTATTATATATTTGTACTACACAATCACAGACTTCTATACTACACTAGATAAGGAACTCTTATACAATGTACATTGTTACAAGTGAAGCTCAGCTGTGAACGGCCGCCATTTTCTCGGTTGGCAAAACATTTAATTTATTATACAAAATGTATTAGGAATAATATTTTTTTTAACGGTCAAATAAAATAGTAAATGTAAAATGACTTATATAAAATATTTTTTTTTTTTTGTAAACTTAATGTTTAAAAATAATAAAATACGATATAAAATAAATCATAATATCATCTTATTTGTCATATGAAATACCATACAATTGCCAACCGACCTTGAAGCTTCAATTCATGACCGGAGTTCGCTATCTAGTAATATATAGAAATCTGTGTACACAATATGAATATTGTATTATTATTTACTAAAAAAAAAGTTATATAAAATTATTAAAACTAGGTTTACACATCAATAATAAGTTACAATTATGAACTAAATTAATTAGTAGTAATCTAAAATAAAGGTTTAATAAACTTAAATTTAAAGTAAATTAAAAACATTTTCATAAATTATATTATCTAAAATAGTATTTAAAATATTTTTAAAAATAATCTAATCTACAGTACATTTTTGTAAAAATGGAATCTACTGAGTTTTAAAGGTTTGTTATTGCCCAGACGCTGTGCGGCACACAAAAAAACGTGAAGTATATTCGGGCCGCAGTATAAATATGAATTTCGATTGTGGCCAGCAAGTTGAAAAAGGTTGGGCCTGATGTAACGTATTGAATTAATTTCTCTGGCACCTAACATTATATCAATAATGAATATCAACATTTTAGATTAAAGACAGCTAACGTAAGGCGGTAGTGTTATAAATTGTATAGGAATCAGTGGCTAGGCAATAACAAACAAGTATCATTTTAAATAACTACCAATTTATGATTTGTTTTGTTTATCATTTAAAACATGTACAAATGTATACAGGGACATGGTACGAGGCAGAATATTTCCTGATAGTTTTTTTTATTTGTGTATTTATTTTCTATAAATACATTAAAAATATATATATATATACTGTAGCAAAATTAATGAAAAAGTAAACATTACTTATTTTACTATCTATAAATTCCCTAAGAAAATATTCTGATCTCACCAATGGAAAATAATATGAAATTTAATATCTACAGTTTGGATCAATAACAATCCATATAGGTTTAATATTATAAAGCTCACATTTCTTTCTCAACCATTCAGCTTCGAATTCCAAAGTATCCTTATTAGACTCTTTATTTTCAAAAACATTCACTCCGTTCAATTGTTGATGTCTTGAAGTACCTTCTCCAAACTCGTTATTTTCCAAAAAGTTTGTTCGATCCAACGCTTGAAGTTCTAAAGTATCAATATTATCGGAAACTTTGTTTTCTGATATATTTTTATTAGACTCATCGTTTGCATTATTAACAGAATTAGTCTTAGCTTTGCCTTCAGAATTAGTGACTTTAAGTCTCTTACATTTATTATTGGACCTTTTATACAACGATTTCTGTTCTAATGATGTCAATGCATTATTTGGCTTAGATTTTGAATTATGTGTCATTTTAGGACTTCTATTAGTACTCTTTACTTTAGGATTGCTTAACTTTCTCTTTTTATCAGAAGTTTTGTTATTACTTTCTTCCTTATGTATTTTAGATTTCGGCTTTTTATCTTGATCTTCTTTTTTTATGTGTAGGTCATTTGAAAAATCTTTTGAAGGTTTTAATGGTACATTTTTAATAATGACAACATCAGGGCTGAATAAACTTTTACGGTCTTTTTCATATAGTTTTTTATAATCTGAAGTTTTCATTAATGAACCCGAGAGACCAGATGATGATTTATTTTTAATAATGTCATCTTTTTCATTAGAACCGCTAGTAGAAGCAACAGTAGTAGTTTTTATTAATAACGCATTTAAGTTATTAACAGCAACTGCAAGATTATTTTTTTTTTCATCATGTGGCATACTTTCAATGTTATCTGAAAATCCTTTAAATTCATTAGTTGGTAAACAGTCTTTTGTATTATGATATACCAGTTGAGTTCTTACAGAACTTGTAGTATCCAGTGATTTAGTATTTCTGACAGTAGAAACTATAGTCTCGGGCTTTTTGGTGTAACTAGGGCTTTTCAATGCCAATGAAATATCTTCATCATTTTGAATTTCAATAGAGCAGCTCGAGTTACTTGTAGATAAATTGTTCACAGTATTTTTTACTTTCACTTTTTTATTTTTTTTGGATGCTTTATCTGTATGGCTTTTACGTTTGTTGGTTTTAGTTTTATTTTTAGAACAACGATTTTGTTTATCGGTACTTGGCAACCATTCTTCTTCATTTTCTTCTTCTTTAATTATATTTTCTTGCAATTTTCGACTTTTCTTCTTCCTGATATTTGTTTTTTTAGTACTTTTTAATCGCATTTTATCATTCGTCTGAATAATTGGTTCTGTTTCATTTTCTGTTTTCAAACTTTTTTGAACTTCCAATTTATCATGTTCAATATTAACTAAAGTTTCTAAAAGTTTCAAACTGTTATGAATTTTATATTCTTCCTCCAGCTTAAGCGGATCTGTATTTTGGTCTCCATTTTGTTCTATGGTTGTTTGAAATTCATTAGTGGTAGGCACATTGCTAACATTAATGTCAACACCTTCAAATTCATCATCATAAGTAAAATTTGTTTGTTGTATTTTCAAAGCTAATGATATTATAGCTTCTGTAGTTTGTTCATCGTCGTCGATAATTCTTGATGAATGAGCAGAATCCACATTATCATTAGTGTGAATATTATCTAACAATGGTAAACTATTTGTACAATCTACAGTCAAGTTGTTTATTTGTAATGTTGACCTATAGTTATTAAATGATGTGGTTTCTATTTTACTGACGGAGGTATTTTTAATATTTAACACCGAATTTTCATCGTTTGGAGAATTACTATTCAACATATATGATTGAATTGCTTTATCTGAATCAGTTGTATTATTGTTTGATTCTGGTAAACATTGGATTTGAGTCAATTTAGAAGATCCTTGTAACAACATATTATCATTACAGTATGATTTTATTGCACCATAATCTGAAACAGATTTAAAATATAACATTTATAAATAATTATTAAAAATATTATTATTTCCCTATTTCAAGGGAATGGAAGCAGTATTTATTTTTGGTAAAGTGGAAAGGTTTTAAGTATATGTGTACCAGTGTACTTAAGGCAAATATTAAATATTAATAGGTCATTATAAACAAAAAATAACAGTGGTATACATTCTATAAATATATTTACAATTCTATCAAATATAGATTTTACTTTCATGAATATTTAATAATAAAATAAGTAGGCATAATACTACGGTTGACGCCACAATTGCAATATTCAAAAACTCATTGCAAAAATATTAATGTTAATGGAAAACAAATATAAATTTTGAATTGAATACATTCAAATGGAAAGACATTTTAGTGTGATTTATTATATTTTTAAGTTTGAGATGAAATTAATATGTATCAATTTCCATGAATATTGAAGTAAATAATTTCATACATTTTTTTTTAATTAATGGAAAACAATTTATGTGATTTTAAGTACTTATTTATAAAATTAAACAAACTAGAATGAGTTGTGGCTCAGCACTTATAAGCAAAATGTATATTATATTTATTTAAAACATTAGGTGAATAATAGTATAGTACTTACTTAAATTATTTGTTAATGAAAAACAATTTAAAGCACATTGAGTTCTTTTAATATTTTCCATTGAATTTTTAATAATGAACTGGCAAAGATATTCATAAGTACCTCCAACTATACCATCAATAAATTTTTGGTGTTCGGATTCAAATTGCGATCTAAAAAATATATTATGTTAATAACATTTACTATAACCAAGAAGAAGAATTTTATATTTATGGTAAATAAAACATAAATCATAATACATAATGTAATACATATTGTTGGCTATTTATTTCTCATTTAAATTTTTTTTTGACATTGTGATGAAATATTAATCATATTATCTTTGTTTAAACTGTAGAACAAAAAAAAAAAAAAAAATTAATTAAATAATATTATATTTTATTATATTTTTTAAAATTATTAATAAATTAACCCCGGTATTTACTTTATCATCTGAACCGCATTTATTATAAATTATCATTATTTATTATTCGGATTCTATGTATCATTTATCTTTGTTATTGTTTGTAAAAAATTTTATTATAAAGATTATTCATTTCTTAAGTCAATATAATATATACATATATAAAAAAAAGGCGGGTAAGTGGAAGTTGCTCTGCTGCACATTAGGTTAAATGGGTCACTGTAATGAATGGTGTTGAATTTTAATTCAATGATATAAATACAATATGTACTCAGACTACTATTAGGTACAGTAAGTTAAATTTGTTTTTGCCAAACTAATTTGATTTAATTTATACAATAATATTATATTCTAAAAGTTTCATATATGCGCGAATAATATTTTTAAATTACAACAAAATTACTAAAATTGTTATTCTTAGTTTTAATATGTACTTTGGTAAAAATTTGAATTTAAAATGTCTGTAAAAATTAACTGTGTTTATATATTTTTAGTTATTTTGGCTACAGTATGAACTATTTATGAGAACCTTTATTTTAAATTTTCAATCCTTAGCTATAAAAATTGAACATTTTATATTTTTTTAATTACAATAAATAATTTTTTTGAGATTTTAAAATATATTTTTAAATTTGAACTTTAAATACTTACAAAAAATTGTGCTTATGGATCTTTAACATTTATCAACTGCTAATATAACAACGTATACGGAACCTTGTATTCAATTTTAAATATTTTTGAACAAACAAATAAAATTGTATAGACATTTACAGAATATAAAACTAAAAAAATTTTAAAAGTCTATAAATAACTCACAACAAGTCAAGTATTTTGAAAATGTTATCATGTATAGAAAATGATAAAATTAGTAAGTATAAGTTCACTGCAGATGACGCCAATTGCGTAATTTTATATCGTCTGCGTATGCTGAAAACGCCAATATTGTTATTATGTACCTTGTTACTAAATGCACTACAATTTGGTGAGCGTGATGTAATCGTTTTTAATAATAATAAACTTTTCGTGTTTTTGTCTTCTGCAAGCATTATTTCATAAGCAAGTGCAAGTTGTACACTGATATTTTAATTTTTCAATTTTTATTGCAAACTCCATTTTTACGGTGTCACAACAAGTATACTAAAATATGATATGCATCAAACGTGTTAAGAAATGTAAATATTGTTGTATTTATAAAAATACAAATTTGTGTGTGTGTGTATGTTTATGTAAGTAATTACAATATGATATCAACTGTTTATTTTTAATTTTAGAAATTAATATCTCAAATAATTTAATCAATTCAAATAAATCATTATTAGATTAACTCATTTAAATTATTTAAATAAAATATGTTTTATTTGCTGTTAAATCTTTGCGTTTAAATTATTTAAATAATTTTTGATTTTATAGAGTACTTTAGCCCGGCGACTGGCCATTAGCTGTTGTAGGGGATTATGAACTTGGTAAGGTTGGTACAGTAGGGTGTTGTTACAGTAGGTAAGCAAACAAGTGTATGTGTGGCAAGGCTTTTACTATTACGAACCCAGGTGGTTACCCATCCGGGAGCTAGTAGCCGCGGGCATTACTTACTCACATTCCGCGACTGGTAGCAGTCAACGGGCCCCACCAACCCACAAGAACAAATTAGTAGGTGAGTCAGTTGCAATTACTCCAAACGAATATAATATTTAAACTGTTTGTTAGAAAGAAGCACAATATCATACCAAATACCTAATTACATTACTTACTCATTGATTGTATTTGTAATATCTTGTTGTATACTTTCTAATGTTGCATTAGGCTTGTTCATGCACATGTTCATGATTTCGACTACTTTCTTTTTGAAATCACCAACAAAAATCTGCAAGTTATTCAATTAGAAAGCAGATATTGATATAAAAACATAAAAAATATTCAATGGATATAATTACATCTTCCTGTTGTACTATTCTGGTGTATATAAGTGAATACCACTTATCGGAGGTCATATTCTCCATGTCGAGTAGTGCAGGGTCGAACGACGGTGCAGGCGATTGGTCCATTGTTTCCTATACGAACATAGATTGGAGTGGCTAATCTGCAAACCACGATCCGAAAGTACGGAATGTTAATATCTCATACCCGACAACACCAGTCATAACTGATCACTGATACCCACAGATTGCGAGCTAGCAATGAATTCTCAAGGTCCGTTTCAAACAGCGGGTAAGGTAGGGAAAAAACGAAAGGCAGCTAGAGAAAATCGGATAAAAAAACGGGTACTGGTAATCGGATCTAAATCAACCACTGGGATTTTTATACAAAGCGGGCCACATGAAATTGGACCTAAAGCGGCTACCGGTAATCGGATCAAAAGCGGCTACCGGGAATCGGACATAAAGCGGCTACAGTACCGGGAATCGGATCAAAAGCGGCCGCCGAGTTTCGGGCATAAACCGGGCCACATGGAATTGGACTAAAAGGCGGACACGGCTAATCGGACTGGACGAATAGCACTGATGGGGGGCAATCGATCGGTCGGACATGAGTTGCCAGCGGGTTTTAGGGTGCAATACTTACCGAAACACAAGACGCCTCGGAAACTTGATGAGTTGCAGGTGCTCCGTGTGCGTCGTCGGCGAGACAGTGCTGTTCAGCGGCGGCGGCGGCGGTCGGGTGTCCCGTGGTCACAGATTTGAGTCATTAATCGCGTTAGTCGTTAACCGCGTACGTCTGGGCCGCTATCACTCGACAACAGTTGTACAAAATAAATAATAATAATAATATTGTGTTTATTTCACGGACTTATCTTAGTCCGTGGTTTGTTTGTTTGTCGTATCGGTATCAGAATAATATCGTGATAACGTAGTGGTAAAAAATGGACGACGGACAGAATATCGAACTACCACGGACGTAGACGATGGGTAGAACGTAAATAAAATAATATACAATCGTCAAGTGGGAAGTGTAGTATATTAATAAAGAATATGGATAGTGGATACTGGATAGAAAGAGATGAGAGAGCGTATTGAACTATTGTGTGTACAACCATGACAAAGTAAACAATTATTTTGTCATGCGTACGACGTACGGTGTAGCTACTAGCTGATCTAATGCCTATCGAGCGAATTAAACATTTAGCGCTTCTGCATAGTGCGTGACCATCGTCGTTTTCGTCGGGGTATGGAATCAAATGGAAGCGACACTGCTTAATCAGCTGATCGGTTTGCTTACATTTTGAGGACGGTACGTGAAGGGATCATGGACATGATAAAATATCCAGTGTGATGTATTTATGTTATATCCGTATTAAATCCATAATCTATGTACTAATGTACCTGTGTCGCACAATGGCGTGTGGCTGTGTTCCACCCGATATTCAAGAAAATTACGCAAATTGGATAGATCTGGATAATTTCAAATTTGGAATATATAGGATAATATGAGGATTAAACAGTACGTATGTGCCATGCTCATAAATAAGGGCGGTCTGAATTCTACTAGTACTCATAACTCATTTATACATTTAACATCGCATTTAACATAGAGGAACCCAAGTTTGAAACAAGAAAATATGTGTATGTAGGAACAAAAAACGGTTTTAATAAATTGCATACTATAAGCAGTGTACTAGCATGTTATTGCTCAGACGCGGGCTGGACCGTGAGTCCAACTGGAAATTGACGGTTAATCCGTCTTCTGTATTGAGGTTTTGTAGCCGTTGAGTCTGTTCGAAGACCAGATGTGTAAAAACTGTCAGTTGGCCTGCAACCTAGCCAGTCCGCCCCAGTTAGTGTTTAAAACGTTCTATACATAATAGGTACATTCATATAATATATGTTACAGGCATTCCCGGTGTCATTGTACACAAAAGAATTTTACATATGGACACAAGTGTATAGAGCCGACACTTTCTTACATACGTACGATATGTTTTGTATGTCAAAATCCATTGTGTTGTTTCTGCTCAACGTGTTACCAGAAAATTAGGAGGCAGTCTAGAGCTAGTCGATCACCAAATTCAGCTATTGCTAGACACTATGTAAGATAATTCGAGACAGTGGATAGAGCGTAAGTAATTTAACTATGTATAAATTCTAAAATTTAAACATTATTTGATAATTGATTCTTATGTTATAATTAACAAATTCCAATATATTGTAATGAATACCTACTGACTTAAGTATATACTGAAGTATATATTTCATTTTTATATTTTTTAAATTACTTTTATAGACGTTGGTGCTGCTAACTTTACTGTGTACAATAGTCATAGGAGAAAAAATAATGCTCTAATGATCAAGATATCTTATGAGCGGAAATAGGCCCAGAATCTGGTACTTCACAAGTAAGTTAAATTCTTTAACAGAATACTATGCACAAATGTTTAGATAATCTTATTTATTTCATTAGCGATTTAGATTATTTATATCAATATTTAGATATAATTTAATAATTCATTAACACTAATTTTTCAATTTTATGAATGAATAAATTAGGTCAATGTTGATAGATTTAACTTGAATTTAAACGTGTTAAATAAATAGAATAAATAACAAATGTAGCCATACATTTTCAAAATAGTTTTTGCATATTAAATTAAATTAATTGGTTGTCAGTATTTTTAAATTCTTCGTGTCCATCGTAGTCATTATGTCATGTATAGTTTTAAATGTTTGGGAATTAGTTTCGTGTAGAAATTTATTTTTATAATTAACCAAATAATATATTATATAAATTAGATGTTTAAAAATGTTTGATTCATAAGCAAGTATAGATTAAAATCATTTTTGTATTAGGTTTCAATATACAAAATCAATTACAACAGATGAATTTGGAACAACAATACTGTTCAAGACAGATGGCAACAGAGCAACAGGAGAATGCTCTTATTATTTTGATTGGTAACCGTACCATGACTATTCATTTAAATATTATTTATTTTCTTGTTTTAACTATTTGTATTATTTAATCTAGATGACCAGATTTTGGAATGTCCAAAGAAAGTGATATTGTATTTATTGTCATTGAACAAATGGAGAAATGAAGGTTGGTGAGAGACGTCAAACATCTTCCACTTAATATTGATGCAGTACAAACCTAGACCAGAAGATTGCTGTGTGAATTATTTGAGCAATGTTAACAATCACACTTCGTAGACAGAAATCTCCATGTTGAGATTTTTGAGGTGGTATTATTCATCAACATTGTTCAGTGTCTTATTTTAAATATAGAAAAATACATGATATAATACTGATAAAAAAAATAAATACCTAACACATGAATTAAGAAGTAGAAAAATAAAGTAAAGTTGACAAAATACTTTTCTTAAATTAATCTTGAGGTATATCAAAAAATCAACATACATATCGCCTGCCGCAGCAAAGAAGGTCGTATCTCTGTTTTTACCATTTTATTTTTCAAGTTTTCATAATTGCTTTTGTGTAGTTACCGCAAAGGCGATAGTAACTGAATTTTGTTGTATAGAACGTCTTTGATTGTTTCATGCTACTATCAGTTTTGCGGAATCTACACAAAAATAGTTATGGCAATTTAAAAAAAAAAAATTTGTGAAAACAGAGATACGGCCTTCTTCGCTGCGGTGGGAAATATACACGGAATTAGTTAAGATAGGCTAATCTTAGTTAAGATTAGTGTCCCAGATTATTTAGGGATATTCTTAGATCTTACGAGAGTTAGATAAAAAGAAATTTAAGAGTGGAAGTGTAATCAAATTTATAAATTGTAAAGCCTAACATGGAGGGTTTTATTTTTTGTAGATATTATGGTCAGTAAATATAAGAGTTTAGAATCAAGATACCAAGATCTTTAACTATTTAACAGCGGAGTTATTGCATAATTTATAGTTCAACTTTAAAATATTGGTTGATTATTGAACTTGGGTATACAAATATAATTTATAAATAATGATACATTAAGGTTTTTATTTTAGTTTAACTATTTGTTTTAGAACGTTAAAATCTTCTTTAAAATATAAAAGTTAACAATTTGTTATTAGTAAAATGATATTTTTCATTTTTTTTTATATTAGATAATATATCATTTTCATAAAAAAGTATTAAGTTTTTAATTTAATAAACAACTACTCAAACAATTTAAAAAGTATTTAAATTTTTAAAAAGAAGTTTTGCAATGAACTTGAGTGCACAATAGCTGATAGGGTTAAATTAATAGCTAGATATAAATTTGTATATGTCATTGAGTGTTAGTTATATTTTGTTAAAACAACATAACAGTATTTGTACAATTTTTAAAATAAGTTTGTTTTGACTTATGAACAATTTTTTGAATTTGAAATTTAAGTCTCATCGTTGTTGTTAATGTCCAAAATTGTATTATAATATATAGTTGTAATATTCTTCGTATTGTTGTTCTTTGTTATCATTTACATTTATAATATTTTTTATCTTTGCCCATTTTGTAGCGAAGTTACTTAGTTCATCTGTTAATATGCCAACAGTTATTTCTGTATTAAATTGTACTAAAATAATATCTAAATAAACTAAATTATTTGCAATTATTAGATGACTTAAATAGTTAAATAGGCCGGTAACACCTTAATACCATTATAAAAAATTGTTGGTAAATCATTAATGAAGATAAGAAATAATTACGGACAGATATCTTAAACTATTGCAATCTTAAGTAGGTAATAATTTAGTTGAACAAAGAGTTACATTTTTTAATTCAATTTATTATGTGCCTATATTATATAATATATTGGGTAAGACGTTTTAACACATGTGACAATTAGGTTATATAAGTTATATAAATTATGGTACTCGATATCTATACAAATGGTGTCACGTATAATAATCATAATTATATATCCAATTCATTCAATCATTCCCATCTCAGCAATAAAAAAGTATATATATTTCATAAATAATCATAATTTATTGGGCTAAAGTACTATTATATTTTTTTTTCAATATATATTTATATTATAATGCAACAATCTTTAAAAACTTATATTGACTGGACTATAAAAATATCAAGAAAAAATTTTAATTAAAATTAATTATTAGTATAGTAGTATCTTAAAATTTAATAAGAATATATATTATATATATATAAAGTAGATGCCAATAATAAACAAAATAGTTGACATAAGTATATTTTCAAAACTATTTGTAAATTTCATTCTTGCAGCAGTGTGTGGTTACTGGTTTGTAAGAAATAATAAATTACCTAAGTAAAAACTAATAAGTAAATTGTAGATACTAAAACTAAACTAAAAAGTAGGTACCTACTTACCTAGAATACAAAATTCCATTATTCATTTTGCGACTTACCTACACAAAGTGTGTATCTGTGTAGGTACCTTCCTAATTACTAAATACTAAATAACAAATGACTGACAGATGTCAGACACTCGGGTAGCTGCTTAGTAATTTATAATGCAGAATTGAAAAACATCTAGAATTATAAATTAATGATGTTAAATAAAATTTATAAGATTTGAATTATTGTTTATAAACTATATTATACAATTATTAGTTGATTTCTATTAGTAATATACTGTTTATATACTCACCCAGTCTCTCCATATAGGTAGGTACTAGTTATAGAAGTTATAGCACAGAATAGATTTAGATATAGATTTAATCTATTCTGCAGTTATGGTTAGGTACCTATAATATAATAAAGTATAGATAATATAACTCAAATCACAATAACTGCCAACTTTATTGTGTGGACACTGACGTCAAGTAATAGTTACCATAATAAGTAGCTAGTATGTAACAAAAATATTCAAGCATTGTTTTGTGATTAAAGTATTATTATATTACTTATACCATGTTTAATAATTAATCTTGAAACAGAAATTACAAATAATATGAACTTAACAATTAATTTAACTCCTACAAAATTGCAAGTTTATTTAAATACCCACCTGTAATAGGTAATATATTAAAAGATAAATAATTTTTCTAAATATAGTTATGATTTATTGTTAGTGTACTTATAAATATTTATGTTCAATGAATTAGGTATTGAATTACATTTAAATTTGGTTTTCTCATATTTATAACTACTAAACTACCTATGGGTACTCATTATAGTTAATAAACTTTAATTTCTTTTACAGATTAATTATAATATAATAAATTATTTTCAAATAATCATGTAGTCATAATAATTTGAGATTCTGAACGGAGTGATGAATGTATTGATTTTGCAATGATGTGTGTTTTTTTTTAGTCTGTCATCACCTTTTAGTGCTTTGATTTTCAACTTCAGTATCTTGTTTGATGGGAACTACCTAGTTGGTGCATTGGAAGGTCAAAATTTAAAATTCCCAGTAGCTTTCAAAATCGCCGGGAAGAACAAACAAAATATTAAGGAAAATCGGGAATTCTTATGCAAAATCGATTTTGGTTTTTTGTGTAACTTTAAAACAAATGACCGTAAGACATGAAATTTTCACTGGTTGTTTATATTAGAATTTTCTATACACGATAACATTTTCAAAATAATTTGAATTATTTTAAACTGTTTACGGACATTTTCAGTATCCAATTTTTTAGTTTTTTTTTTCTATGAATGTCAAAAATTTAAATTGATTTTGTAGTTAAAAAAATTATAAAATGTTCAACTTTTATAGCTAAGGATTGAAAATTTAAATCAAAGTTCTACGTAATTAGGTCATCTGTAACACAAAATTTTAAAAATATAAAAACTGTCCGAAATTACATATTAAATAAGCAAGAAAAACGATTTTAGTTATTTGATTGTAATTTCATAGTTATATTAATTCAAGTTACCAACTACCGTTTTAATAATAAGTAATAACAATATAAATTGAATACCTATAAATATCCACACTGATAAACCGTCTGCAGGCTTAGAATCATTTTTTGTATACTATGATATTATATAATGTTAGCTATGAAATTAAAATCTTTTATCAATTACCTACTATAAAATATAAAAAAATAATAGATGAAAATTCGTTAATTTATTTAAAATATTTGTAATCCAATATAGTAAAAGTTTTAAATTCAAACGCTCATCAAAAATTAATAG